GAAATTGAAACAAGCGGTTTCTTTGTAATTAATGTTATGTTTTTTAAATTATTTTTCATAGTGAAGATGAAGTTCTGTACCTTTTTTATCAACATGGTTGTCGTGTGGTTCATGCTCTTCATACGTTGTGATTTATGAAAGGTATCAACTTGTTCAATTATGTTCATAATGTTTTTTTAAATGGCGCCATTTCATGAACTAATGGACTAGCATCAACCGTGAGAAAACAATTCTAGTTCGTGTCACAAACAAACTAGCTCAAATCGAGGCTGTAAAGCTGATCAAATCTTCCTTAATATATAACTGAAGAAGATTCAAGACCTTTTTTCATTTTTCTGGAGGGAAGATCAACATTCACATTGGAACAACAACTGATTCAAGATATCTGTTTCAGAAACTTTTTTTTTTTTTTTCAGTTTCTGAATTGATTGAATTGAGGGTAAGGCGTGTGAACCTTTCTGAATTGATGAAGTAGGAGAAGACGACATTAGGATTGGGAAGCCAGCTGAGAAGGTAACCCCACCCCCCAATCAGTTAATCGTGAGTGATGCAAGTAATCCAAATTATTTAGTTTATAGAGCATATTTCCTTGAAATTCCGTACATGTTTAGAATTTTTTTTTTTTTTTTTGGCATTTTCATTCCTTCAATATCTATGGCTTCAAATTAGTGCATGAATCAAACCTGGAGATTTAGTCCAATCCACGTGCTATAATGATCTCTTCATTCATGCTATACACCATTAACAGCTTGTTGAAGCTTTGTTTAATCATATTTTTCATGTTGTTTACACTATGTTTTTCTCTGCATTGTTCTTTATAATGCTTTCATGCTCTCCATCGTTCTAAACAACATGTTTCCCTTGTGGAACTCTATATTTCATGTTGTTGCTGACTGCTGCAAACAACATAATCTATATAATATTTTGATACAACTCATGATTTGTTTCGTTTTTCTAAGAAATTTTAAAAGATGAGGGAAATTTTTGAGTTATGTATAGCCGTTGATGTAGAGGGTTCAGGCTCAGAGAATTTCAATATCTTCGCTAATCTTTGCAGATCTATTATGCTTTCTGACTCTATTTCATTTGACCAAACTGTAATAAGTCAAACTTTTAAATTTTAGTTGTATGTGTTGACCTCATTTTTGGATGAGATCACTTTGACCTTTTTCTGAACTCTAGAGCCTAGGACTTCCTAGATCATAGGATCCTTCTAGTTTCAAGACTTTAGGATCAATCTAGATCTTAGGACACCCATACCAAAATCCAAGGCCAAGGGCTTAGATCCTAAAAGCCTTATCCAGTGCTTTTTCAAATACTTCAAAACCAAGTTAACTTACCCCCGATTCAGAGTCTATCAATTCCACCCTCCAAGTTTGAGCTCAATATGATGTTTTTAAGCCTAGAAACTAAACTTAGTTCTAAAGGTTGTAAAACATTCAAATATTTATGACTTATGCCACTATACTTGTCACCTAGCGGGATTTGACCTTGGGACCTTCCCCAAACCACTTGATCATGTCCATGGCCTCCCCCATGACATATTGACCAGCAACCTGCACTTTTCCAGACCCAATTTAACCCATATTTGACTAGGGGTCAAAATGACCAAAATATCCTTTAAGGAGATTTTTTATCTTTTCCCCAAGTTTCAACATGTCCAACCCGTATCAAACTCTAAATTTCATTCTAATGGATCCTAAATGACTTTAGTAACACATTGAACACAAACTTACTATTTGGTTTGACCTGGTTGACCAAAATGCCCTTAATGAATTTAAACATCTATTTTTAACCCAAATGACCTACCCAATATATGGGATCATTTCCATTGATCTCAAAACACTCATTGAACTTGTTTGACCCAAACTTGACTCTTGGTTTGACCAGGTTCACCAAGTCAACCATGGTTGACCAAATCAATCCTTAACCTACACACTTGTCAAATTCAATCATTCAACCCATTTGAATCAAATCAATCCTTCAAAATTATTTAATTGGACACCCTTCACATGTCCAAACACTTTCAAGTCAATCCTCATCTTGGGTTGACTTGGTCAACTCATTTGGAGAGGTTAAAACCCTCTCCAACTTCATGTATTTGTTCAAAGCTTCAACCCTTTGATTCCAAACTCCTTAGGATAGTTTCCTACAGCTCCCTTGACCTTCTCCAAGCCTATCCTAGTCATCATTGACTGGTCAATAGGTCAATGAGTCAACAAACTCATTTCAAGCCCATTGAGGAGAGCTATCGGTGATCATGCATCCAGTTCAGAGTTACCCATGATACAGTTCGAAGACTTGGATGATGTTGGAACAATTGGACCTGAAAGGGGTATGTCGGGGAAAGGGATGAATCAAGGAAGTGCTAATAAAATGGAAGACTATACTTGACTATGATGCCACATAGGAGCTGTATGAGAGGGTGAAGTAGTAGTTTTCGTCTTCCCACCTTGAGGATAAGTTGGGTCTTTGGGAGAAAAAATTATTTTGTGCGGATCCGAATGTATTTGGAGACGGATCCTGATGCGCCACGTCACTGGATGCACTGGGTCCCGGTGATGTGGCATACCTGGATTTGCCTCCGACACGTTCGGATTCTGCATAGAATAATTTTCCCTTTGGGAGGGGGGTATTGTTGGATCGGTCTCTCCTGGACCAGTCAACCAGCTAGGGTTTATAGTGGGCTGATGTTCTACCTGCAATGAGATCCCGCCTCCTTTGGGGTGGGTCCCAGGTAGAAAATTCAAAGGAAGGAGGGGACGGCTAGGATGGAAAATTCAAATGGAGAGGGTTGTTCAGGATTTAGTTTGCTTTGTATGTTTTAAGTAGATGGTTTACCCTAGTGCTGTTTTTTTTTTTTAATGCTTTTGTTTGCTGAAATTAATTTTGCTTTAGGTTGAGAGGGCCATAGCCGACGGCTAGGGATTTTGGAGAATCATATCTTCTTCTCCAATTGAAGATCCAACAGTATCTTGTGTTTTTCTTCTTTGTTCTTTCAATAAAAAATTGTTCTTGTGTGATTTTCCTCCTGAATTTCTTGTCCCGTTCTCTAATTTTTTTCTGAAATTGCATCCACTTCCTATCATAAGCACCCTATTCTCTATATGAATTCATTAAATAACTGACATACAGAATAATCTAATGATCTTTCTTGCCTTCTACTATGACAATTGACAATGAATCTGTGAATATGATTGGGTATGAACTGGGAGAAAAGAAACTAACATGTTTTTCTCTCGAAAAAAAGAAATCATCATGAAGCCAGCAGTAAAACATTTCATAAAGGTTGAACAACATATGGATGGCTCCTAGTTCAATATGGAAGTCATTCAGTACTGTTATTTTGTTACTTAGACTATTAACTATTCCATTAACATTTACCTCTATCTACTTGCCTGGCATCGAGTTCAATGCAAGCGTGTGCCTTCTGATTTCAGTGTTCTCTGGTTATTTAACTCTCAAGTTCAGACGTACTCGTGGTCTGCTGAACCTTTTTGTTCCTGCATGATTATGTTCTCAGTTTCAATAACATTTCTGTCGAAGCAAGAGAACGCAATGATCATTTTTTAACTCTAAAATGTACTTGATGTGTTGGAGGGTGTTGTTTCCTTTGTTCTCTATTTAGCTTTTGCTGTTAAGGAACACTCATAGTTTGCATGCTTTCTTCTGTATTGAATTCACGATCTATTTATCTTGGTATGCGTCGACCTGGACAAATTATTCTGTGCGGAGTCCGGACGTCGTCCAGAGGTCAATAAAAATACGACACGTCATTTCAAACGGTACCGGACGTTTCTCCCGTCCGGTGTCCGCACAGAATAATCTCTCCCAGTGACCTGACGGCTCTACACTTCTTACAGCGGGCCATCTCGATTTGATTGGGACCAGACACATAAAGCCTGGGTGTATCGACGGACAAAAGCAAACTTATTGAGTCTTCTTGAGGATGAAGTTGAATCACTCTGTGGTAAGCCAATCACTCTTTCCTGAACCAAACCAAAATTGAAATCCTCCATTGTCCTGGTAAAGAAAAAGATCCTTATATTTGTAGAACAACTGAGCAGTGAGCTTTATAAAAATACCCTTGCAGTTATGTAGTTTTTCAATTTTGTAAATTAAAAGAAAAATATAGAGTTCATAAGTTCCAAATGCAGATATGCAATCCAGTTTTGTAATACTATTGATCTCAACAGCCTTAGAATATCCTAATTTTGTTTTTTGTGAGAATATGACAAATGGTTTTGCTCATTGTCTTGGTGATTCAGTTGATATACTAACAGCTTCACTAAAGCATTACATCATCTCTAAATTCTATTTAATCTTTATCTTATCAACATATATTGTTTTGCATATAAGCTCAATGAGATTGTTAAAAGAACTATATATTCAATTCTTTGCTCCATTTATTTGTGAATATCCAACCAGCTTGTATGTCTTCCTTTCATTCTCCTCCATAAAAAGATAAAAATATTGATGTTTGATTTACCTATGGAAATACTTCGTCATTTTGTAACTACAATATTCTTTGAACACGAATTGAAATTAATTGAATCATGTTCGAGCATTGATTGGACATGATCAAATAATGATCGAACCATGGTCAAATATACTCAATATATAATTAAGCTGTATTTGAAGACCTGATTGTATATTATTTTGACGAACTTAAAACATCTACCTTGTTAAGACATGGTTGTGCCTTATTCATCAAATTATGTTCGGAGATTGTTTGAATAAAGATCAAACAACATTGTGCTTTTCATCTGGAACTATATTCAATCATGGTAAGAATAATGTCCAAACATAATTCACGCAAATATTTTAACCAATATAGAAACATACTCTTTGAGTCTCTATTTAGCTTTGTGTAGGAGTGTCAATATTTGACACGACCCGAAAATCAGACTCGAATTCGATCCAAAAAATTTAGGTTATGGTCAACCCGGACCGAAACGGGCTGGGTTCGGGTTTAGCAAATTGACCCGTTTCAAAACGGGTCAGGATCAGGTTGCCCAGTAACCAGAAATTAACCTATTTTGACCCGAAAATATGTTTTTGACTCGAAAAACTGAAATTAACCCGTTTTTTACCCACTTTGACCCTAAAATCAGAGATTAATCTGTTTTTTGACCCGAAAAATAATAATTTTTGGTCCGTCTCAGGTCATTCGGGTCGTGTCGGGTTGACCCGGATCTGAAGCAGATCTGGTTCGGATATGAAAAACCAAACCGTTTGCCAAAATTGGTCGGGTTAGGGTTGACCCAAACCCGACCTGTGACCCGAATTTGACACCCCTAGCTTTGTGTTACATCTTTGTCAAAATGATATAATCTAAGCTACATGATGGAATTTTGGAAAAAAAAAATGTTGTCCTTGTGTGCTTAAGTAGTTGATGAGCAAAGAATCTTCAATTTCACAAACGCAATCCCTCATGAACAAAGAAACTCGGACGAAGATACAACAAATACCACAGATGAAAAAAAAGTCAAATGTTGAAAGGTGGGATATTTTTTCTCTTTTGCGGCAGTATATCAATACAACGGATGTATCTTGGTCATCAAGGAACTTTCAGGTATATTTTATCAATAAACGAAATAACTAACATATTTCTACAATTTTGAACATTCTAAGACATAAATTCAAATTTCTCCAAGAATATCATTGGTTGACCTCTTCATAACATGTGATTAAAGTCCTTAAAACAATCATTATCATAGTTGAAGCAACTCCACGATAAAATCTTGGTATATGTAGAACCTTTGAGAAAAATCAAAGGAGGAAAAAGTATTGCTCTTAGATAGGGGTGTCAATTTTTGACACGAACTGAACCCGCCGAAAAAATCAGGGTTAGGGTCAACCTGGACCCGAAACGGTTCCGGTTCGGGTTCAACAAATCAAACCGTTTTAAAAATCAGGTCAGCTTCGGGTTGACCCAGCAACCCGAAATTGAGACGAAAACTCGTATTTGACCCAAAAATTCGAGATTGACTCGTTTTTTACCCAAAAATAGAAGATTGACCCGATTTTTTTACCTGAAAACTAGTAATTTTGGGTCAACCCCGGGTCATTCGTGTCAGGTCGGGTTGGGATTGACCCGAATAGTTCCGGGTTCGACCCGAACCCGACCTATTGACCCGAATTGACACCCCTACTCTTGGATGGCTTAAAAACATTCGGTCTACTCTTAAAATTCCTTTCATGGCTATTCAATGAGCATGGATGATTCTTAGATTAGATTATTTGGTGACGCAATTTCCTCATACTCAATTTTATGGAATTTGGGTTAAGGCTTGAGCATTGCATAATTGATTACAAGAGCCGAGAAGCCTAATTTCACATAATGAAATATAGCTACAAACTCATTGGAATATCCAATTTGAGGAAGTCATACATTGAGTTAATAGGAAGTCACTGACTAGATGTGTATGATAAAAGAATAATCGAAAGCAGATCAATTGTTCCCATACGAAGGAAGTTGTCTAGTTAAAATGTTGTAGGTCCAACTTAGTAGGTTAAACTCGCTTGCTTGGGACAAATTCATAAGTTGATTCGGTGAATTCCGTTTGAGTTTGGATAGAATTGACCAAAGTTGAAATGGACTAACTTGGCTTGAACCTAATTTTTGAATAAATTATTATACATTTACTTCTTCGATTCACTTATGTTTTGCAGTTTTACTTAAAAAAGAATAATATAATATAAAAATATTTTTATTAATTATTCATAAAATCTTCATAAATAATTATTTTATGTTGAATATTTGTAAATCAATTTTTTTTCCATTGTGCCATGTCAAACATTAAATTTTCAACGTGGGGTCGGTGACTTTTCTATCACACAACATGCCCGATGCATTCCTCCACTTCAACCATCTAACTTGAATCCTACTAATAATATCCCCATCTATTTCACCTTCACTCTAAACAATAGGCCCAATATATTTAAAACGTGTACTCTTATTAATGACTTGATCACCCAAAATCACAATCCTCCCACTAGAACTATTATTATTAAAATTATACTCCATATATTCATTTTTAGATCCACTAAGATGAAGACCTTTAAACTCTAAGGTTAACCTCCATAATTCAAGTTTACATTCGACTCTCTATGTAGTCTTGTCAACAAGATAAATATATCAATAAAAATCATACACCAGGGTACAACCTATTGCAAATGTCTATTGAGACTATCCATGACCAAAGCAAAAAGATATGAGCTTAGGTCAATCCTTGATGTAATCCAACTCAAATAAGAAAATACTTGATCAAACCACCTTGTGTCTGAACACAAGTATCAACGTCTGCACATATCTGTAATGACTTAAATATAAGCATTATTAACCCCTTTCTTTTCTAGAACTCTCCATAGCACTTCTCTTGAAACTTTATCATATGTTTTCTCTAAATCAACAAATATCATATGTAGAACCTCCTTATTCTCTCTATAGTTCTCCATCAAACCTCTCAATAAATGTATAGCTTCCATAGTAGACCTACCCGACATGAATCCAAATTTATTTTGAGAAACATTAGTATCATGCCACAACCTATGCTTCATAACTCTCCCATAATTTTAAAGTATGACACATTAACTTAATTCTTCTATAATTCACACAATCTTGTGCATCACCTACCTAGAGAGATAGAAATTGGGAAAAAATATAAAGTTGATATATCTTTTGTTTTGTCGAATTAGTTGTACCTGCTACAGAGAATGATCCTAAGGCACCTTTAAATCTAGTTAGTTTCAAATACTTCAAGAAAAATAGTTAGACCGACTAATAACAAAGGGAATACATCGACTTCAACTATGAGAGAGTGTTCCCATGATATCCATAATGTGACTTCCAATACGCTGAGGGAACTATTTGAAGTAGCTTCTTTAAAGGGAGTTAAAAAGTTTTCCTTTGAAGTTGATTATTTCTATTATGAAGAATGAGTATGAAGATGAGAGATTTGACTTCACCAAATACCTTTATGAAATGAATGTGTCATTTACAAAAGTAGTAGAGACTTTTTGCTAGGAATTCATTGCACTTTGGCTGAAGTTGCCGCTAGTTGAAGATACATGAAGTATACAAAGTCAAATTAGTTCTTTATTGGAGGCAAGTTTGTATTGAAGCAACTTGTTGATAGCACAAAGATGTTTAGCCAAGTCACTTTTGATCCCTCTTTGCATTTTTTCTTTGATTCATTATATATATATATATATGAAATATATATGAAATTTTATATCCAATATGAAATTTTACATCAATCAAATTTTTGAATAATTCGCCATCAACAAAAAGATATTATGTCCTTATTATTACTTCTGATCCAATGAAAATTGACAAAATTTCTCTCCCATAGTACTTCACCTTTCTTCGCATTGTTGTCATCACAATAGTATTGTAATCCCCTGCATTAACATGATTATTGGCAAGTTCCAATAACTCAACCAAAGTTCTTGATTGTTGCAATCCAAGTGCCTATCTAAGTGTTAGAGTAGCTCAAGCCATAGTTAACTCTAAATCGTTCACATCAACTAACTCCTTCTAGAATTGAGTAATTTAAATTTTCAAAGTTTCACCTAGCTTCTGCCCCATTCACAGTAGATCCTATGAATACTTCATAGAGACCTTTGTGTGCTGAGAAGCTATGTGATAAACATCCTCTTGAGTGGAACACATGAGAATCATTGTAGAGGCGATTCCCTGAAGTTAGCAGAGAATAATCTAAACAAGAATGCATCTGTGATATCAAGTAATGTGACGTATAACTCAAAATAGGCAATGTGATTGGTAGGATACATCTTCCCCTTGTACAAATCTAAGTGAGAAATTATGAAATTACTAAAGGCTTTGCCTTAGCAATCTCCATTGAAAAAATATTTGTTAGTTGTGACTTCCTCTTATTAGCTCGTCTTCTTCCTGATAAGAAGTCAAGATTGACTCTTTACTATAAGGATAATAGGTCTCATCAATCTCTAGAGTTGAAGGTGATGTTGTAGCATTGAAAAGTTTTCTTTTCCTCATAATAGAATCATAAGAACTTGCTGGCAACTCCACCTTAAGAGTCTCCCATGGCATTCACTCTAGTGCTATCCAAATCATTCTTTTCATCCTCTATCCAAAATTTGCAAGCTACTTTACTGCAACAATTTACTGATTGTTCTCCATGTTCAACGATTATTCCTTGTGTTGCTCGAAGCACTCTTCTAGTTTGTGGCATGCTTTGTGCTCAACATATCTTCTAGGATATTGA